TCTTGATTCAATCAGATTTAAGCTTAAATCAAAAGGAAATCCGCTCAAATTAAGAGGCTTGCTTCTTGATTTAAGCTTAAATCTGATTTAATCAAGAGTATTTTTTCTTGTCGATGTTTTTAAGAGTCTGGACTATAGATCCAATGTTTTTTTTTCCATTGTAGTGGTAACAGTAGTAGTGTTTTCTGCTGGAACTTCGACGCCGAATTTTGCCGGCTCTTTCACACGGAGATGCGACATCCATCGATGAGTTCAAACCGCACCACTAGCTTATCAGTGGCGCTGAGCTGGACTAAAGTACAGCCAAGACTCGTCTTAGGTATATTTAAGCACGATGGCAAGACAAACAAAATTCGGCCCTGGAGTGACGTAGCACGATGAACGAAGAAGTGCGCACCCCTCAATATTCATGGTAACGCACAAGCATTCGCGGATCCATCAAATTGGCAACATTGTCTTTTCTCCATCAAAACCTATGGAAATGTTTCGATTCTTCGAGGGACCAAGTGCTCGATTATTTAGCATAGGTTTAAATGGAGGAGATCCGGTGTTGCCAAATTTCTAGATCCGCCTCTGCGCACAAGTTATTTGAAAAACAAAAAAAAGTTTCAAATATGATGAACATGACGTACTCAAATTTATAATGCAAAATGATTCGAATTTGTGAAACTTTTAAAAGTTTAAAAAAGAAGACTAATTAGATTTTAGCAAACAGACCATGCTGCAAATGTTGACTAACTACGATTTCGTGGCTGATCAAAACTGGAAACGAATCTGAAGACTGGACTTTCTCAACGATGCAGAAATAAAAAATCGAATCACGATCCCAAAATTGAAAAAAACGAAATAAATTATACCAGATAAAAATACGATAATTGAATGAAAAATGAGGCTGGGTGGAAAAGAATTTCGGTGTTCACATGAACGTAAGATAAAAAGCTAGTTACGAGCATAAAAATAAGTCACGGAAAAAGTATAATTACAAAAGCATGTCATCATCCTAAAAAAATATCCTCGATTGGTATTTTAATTCATTTAAAACATAATTAGTTCCCGACTCTTCCCATCAGTCAGCGGTGCACCCAATACGAAATTCTTATTTAATTTTGATTTTAGTTTTTGGGCCAGAGGCGGATCCATCACTTTGCCAACACCGGACTCCCTCCATTCAAACCTATGCTAAACAATCGATTCTTGTCGGAACACCTGGCCCCTCCAAGAATCGATACATTTCCATACGTTTAAATGGGGGAAAAAATGTTGCCAATTTGCTGGATCCGCCAATGTTTTGGGCATTATCATACATAACGGTGATAAAACTCCCAAAGCACGTACCTCGTTCGTGAAGTTTAAAAATCGCCGCTCTTGTTCGGATTTTTTGGAGGAGGACAAATCAACATCATTCCTTGAATTTTTCTCAGAGGTCATTGCTTTGCACAGAGAAAAAGATCACGGAAGTTTTTAAGGATTGATGTTGAATAGTTTACCATTTTTAAAATAAAGTATGATAGAAAATCTTCAACGTCACAAACCGAGGTTCGTGGTTCGGGAGTTGCACTTGTCGTATTCTAGAATAAATTAAAACATTTTTGCTTCTACTCAGATCTGCTCTGATCAAGTCTTCTGACTTCTGTGCTCTTCAAAGGTACCTGACTAATTATACTTTTTCCGTGAAAATAACACAAAATCATTAAAATGAATCAAATTGAAACGAGGTGATCAGTAAAAAAAAAATAATATAACGAATACTTAAAAAATAAACTTAGTTATCACTAAATTGTCATGTAAAAATACTCTATTTTAAGGTCAGGTACAACAAGTGGAATTAAATCCACGGCACTGATGAACCGAATTGCTAAAAGAAGAGCGACACAAGTAGTACTCTGCTGCGCCAAGGAAGAACACCGTATGAACATTCAAGACTTGCCAAATCTTCCCTATTTTTGAAGCATTATGCATATATTTCCTTGGAATTTTTAAATATTTTAGATCAAACTGGGACCTAAATTTTCAGAAAAATTTACAGAATAATATACCTAGGTATTCAGAATTTTCCCAGTTACTAAATTTGTTTGATACTAAGAAATATGGCAACATCTGAAGGCCTACACGATGCTCTTCCTCAGCACGGCAGTGTTAAGTTTTATCATATCATTCATAATTATTAAAATGAATCAAGTCAACCGATTCTCAATAAGGAACATTTGTAGGCCTGGAATAAATTTCGATGAACCCGAACTTTTTAAAAGGGAGCAGTATTAGCAATTTTCGAAGTACCTCTAAGAAATCCTATAAATCGTAGTCTATATAATGTGATATCTTATACAGTGTGTATATTGCAAAATACATTTGCATTTCATAACTGAGCATCTTAGAGCTCGTATAAAGAAAACGGCCTCCTTTTAAAAAGCATGGGCTAAATGAACTGCATTTTGCAATTTGGAGCTATAAATTCTAGCGCATCTGAAAAAACACGTATATGCATAGGGAAACTAGTGGCACATACGTTGTTTTTAAACCGAGCCGGAATTTATAATTCCAAATTGCAAAATGTAGTCCAAATTCTTAGAGCGCTCATTGATCACAGCCATGCTTTGATATTTTGAGAAATCAGTGGAAACATCTTGCTTTCTTTTGAACCAGATGTATATTAACTCAAGATAAGTACTCTGCTGTGCTAAGGAAGAGCGCCGTATGAACATTCGAGAGTTGCCAAATTTCCCTCGCTAAAATGTTCATTTTTGAGGAAAGTTATGAATATTTCCTTAAAATTTTCAGGTGCTGTAGGTAAAATTGCGAGCAAAAGTATCCGAAAAATCGGAAAGAAAATATTCGTAAGTTTACCCGGTAATTCGTGTTTTATCAAAGGCAATGTGGCAACATCTGAAGGCTCATACGGCGTTTTTCCTTCGCACGGCAGTACTCGCTCAGCACCTTCCTAATGGTAAATTGGACGTCAACGAGCGAATCGGATGTATTCAGAAGAGGAAATTTGTGAAAAAATGGCGTATCGTCCATCACGAGTCTTCGTTACATAGGAGTTTTTTTTTTTTTTTGTGGTTTCTAGACTATCTTTCTCGACGGATTCGTTCTACCTCGTAGCGTCCAATTGTAAGTACAAAAGAGTCTCGATTATCCGTGGCGATTGGGACTAGGGTCACCGTGGATGATCTGAAATTAAAAAATAGGTATTGTCCAAAAATAGGTGTATGTTCTTCGACGGTCGGGAGATCGAGGAGATGAGAACATATGGTATTCATAACGATCAAAGATTGTCAAGCTCAAAAAAAAAGGGAGGGAGCTTGTTTCGTTACGTAAAAAGTTGGAGAGGTAATTACATTTTTTTCATAGATGTACTCGATAGCTATTCTTTTCTCCGCTTCTTTCTCATTTTAAGTACCAAAGCACATTGAAAACAAGTTCGAAGGTTGACCGCGGATATTCAAGACTCTATTGCAGATGCACAAATCGTGTTTTTTAATACTTTCTGAGGAAATATTTTGAGGGAAAAATTTTGGTGTGGATGCGCCCCCGGTTTTTCCTTCTTTTTTTTTTAAAAACCTTTAAACTTTTCAGCAAACAACATTATTTATGAGGTATGTATAATTCCACTCAATTAGTTGCTACACCACTTGGTTTTTTCATTGATATTGGAACATCCATTCGAAAAAATTTATCTGAGTTTTTATAGATCAAAGAATAAGATTAAGAAAATCGCTAAAATGATCCCATTTTGCGAAGGTACGTGCTTCATTTTATACTTCATTCTACCGTAAGTCAAACGATTCTTTCAATAAAATTTGGTTCCTTTCTTTTCAAAATGCAGCTCAAAGACACCGAAAGCAATATCAGTAGATTTTTCGGGTAAAAGATCAGAAGGAAGTACATTACGCGCATAAGATAGACCTTCCTTGGAAGCAATTTTTGAATGGGTGCTGAGCGAGACAATGACTGGTACGAGGACAAAAGATATGGACACCACTCTGCTAGAATATGTTATCAGCTGCTGGAGGCATCTTCAGCTGAGTTTGCACTTGTTTACCCTCCGTTTGGAAGCGACCGCGATGCAGTCGTCCAATAGGGATTGAGGATTAACTACCCTCACGATCGAGCAGCGGTTAATCTTCGATTCCTATTGGACGATTTCATCATAATCGCTGGCAAGCGGAATGTAAACAAGTGCGAACTTAGATGACGCTGCCTCTATACAACAGATGATTACGACGCAACTTGTGCATCACTAAAATGCGGTGTATGTTAGTAAATCTGTCACGTACTTAAGATGATTCGTCAAGCTCGAGTGGCGTGGTCGAACTGGCATGCGATATATCGTATCGATTACGTAAAAAATCTCGGCAGATTTTGAATTTTTAGCAAAACAAAAGGACGATAGCCGCTGCGCATGAGCCTAAAGAATCATTCTAAACCCAAAAATTGGCAAAATTCAAAGGAATGAAAGCATAGTAGTGTTTGGAAAAAAACCTCGCATTCGATTCAGCTATCGATGCGAGGTTTTTTTACCAACACTCTTCTGCTTTCATTTCTCTGAATTTCGCCAATTTTTGAGTTAAAATGATTCTTTAGATTCATGCGCAGAAGCTAACGTCTTTTTTTTTTTGTCTAAAAATTCAAAATCTGCCGATATTTTTCACCTGGCCGATGCGATATATCGCATGCCAGTTTGACCACGCCACTTGAGCTTGACGAATTACCTTAAAACAATTTTTTATCGCAAGATATCAACTGTCATGTTAGGAGTTCCATCGAATCGTCCATAATCCAATCATTTTTTAGTTCCAAGGGCAAAAGGCCCCACCTTGTGCAACTCACGGGACTTAGACAAAATATTTTTCCCTTCGATAACTTGCTGAGGCAGAGCTGTCTATATATTGTCGCCCTCGTATCACAAAAACTTTAGGGGAGGTTTCATCGGGCCAAGTTGAAATTAAAAGAGATTAACAACTAAAAGCGAAAACAGACTTAGGAAGAAGTTTCAGTACCTGTGGCAAAGCATCCGCTATGCCCACAACGGTTGCTCGGCTAAAATCCTATGACTCCTAGCGGCTTGAAGGTTATTCGGGTGCTGGAGGAAAGGCAACAACTTGACCGGGGGTGGCGGCTCCGGCAGCGCGGGTTCGAAGTTCCCCGTCGAAGCGTAGACGTTCACCGACGACCTCTGGTGGTGATGGCTTAAACTATGAACACTTTTCAGCGACGTATTCCGTCGCACCTCGGGCATGGCGTACTTGAGCTTCTGCCAGAACTGCTTCTCGCCCCACTGTAAACACGTGTTCGTCTTTATGTACAACCGAAGGTCCGGGTCCAGATCCTTCTGCAGGACGTCGCCCAAAATGATGAGGATGATCTTGTGCGACTTGTCCTTGAGGATCTCGTGGAGCGCCGACTTGAACTCGAACCGACACCACTCGGTCTCCACGAAATGTTTCGATATGACTATGATCGTTCTCCGGGACGACTCGACCGCTTCGATAATCGTATCCGAGACGTAGGAACTAATGTTGAAGTCACGGTAGTGCAGGCACACCTGGTACGAGCGCGTGGGATTCTGCTCGAGCCCCGGGGCCAGAGCCTGCGTCACGAAAGCATCATCCTTGATGCTGTAATTGATGTACGCATCGTATAACTTGTCTTTGTCGAACTCCTCGAAGTGCGTGGTTTTGTAGCAGATTCGGATACCGCACCGCGAGTACATCCACAGCTTTATACTTTTGCGATGCGCGAAGAGGCAGCACACCACTGCGACCGCGAATATGAATATCATGAGAGTCATTAGCAATAGAAATATGTAGTCATCCATCATGTGATGCTCGATGAGAAGGTGCGACCCAAAAAAATTCGCACAGTTCGTAGATTTGTTGTAGTGCATGACCGGCGGGCTGAAGGTAGCGGTTTTGTTGTCAGCTAGGCACAGGATTTTCTCGTAGTCGATCACCTTCCCCGTGTTCGTTTTCAACCACGCTTTGAACTGATTCATGTAGTCGCACTCGCACGAGTATCGGTTGTTTGCCAACGTGATTTCTACTAAATACGGGTTCATTGTCAATTGCCACACGTGGAAATTCACAAGAAAGTTTCCGTCAAGTCGCAGTACTTCCAAAAGTTTCAATCCTAGAAAAGTGCCATTATCAATGTAGGAAATTTGGTTATTTTGTAAGTAGAGCTCACGCAAGCTCTCCAGATGGACAAGCTCGTAGCCGAGGAGTTGCTTGATGAAATTGCTCTCCAGATGAAGCACCGTCAGGCGTTTCAGTCCACTAAAAGTATGGTTATTTATGGAGACTATGTTAGAATGGTTAGCGTAGAGTATTTTGAGACTCTTCCGACCGATGAATGAGTGCGAGGACAGCTCGCCGAACTGGTTCCCGTCGATGTACACCTCGGTGGCGTCCATCGGGATCTTGGTCGGCATGCTCGTGTAGCCGGCAGACGAGCATTCGACGATGTTACTCGACCAGGAGTCGTCGTGGTAGCACGTGCAGTTCTGCGGGCAGGTCATCTCGCAGTCGCACGCGTCGAAGTCGCAACAGTGACACACGGCGAAGCAATGAGTTTTGTACTTGCAGAGGAACTGAGTGGATTCGGCCTCGAGGAGAGGGACGAAGACTTTATCGCGATTGTACAGGAGCCGGCAGTAAACGCTGTCGAGGTCCATAACGCGTGGGTGCTGTCGCAAGTGGTCTAATTTATTAATGCGCTGGAGCCACTCCATTTTGCAGTTGCACTGGAATGGATTCCCGCCGATGTAAAACTCGGGCAGCGACCTCCGCATCTCGACCGGGGTTAGAGCCAGCGCGTTCAGCTCCATTTCGGCGATCTGATTGGCGTACAGATCCACACGTGTCAGGTTGAGCTTTTTCAGGAACGTGTGTGGCTCCACGGTCTTGATCAGGTTGTCGTTTAAAAACAACAGTTCCACGCTGTTGGGGATAGAAACCGGCGTCACTTTCACTAATTTATTGAAACTCGCGTCGAAAATTTGAATTTTTAGGGTGTTTTCAAGGTGATCTCTGTTATGCAACTCGCTGATGTTGTTTTTATGCACGTCTAGCCATTGTAAATTGGGCGGCAGTAAGTTATAGTCAAAATAAGAGATTTGATTGTCCGAAACGTTCAACCACTGCAGGCTGGGTACGTTGATAAAAATTCCCTCGATGCTTTTGAGGAGGTTATCGTCCAGCCGCACAGCTTGCAGGTTGCTATTCATTGCGAAGGCAGACTGGTCGACGTGGTCAATTTTATTCCGCGCCAAATTCAAAATCTGGAGAGCTGGTAGAGAAGACAGTGAGCGGTTGGTCACCTTTTTAATTCTATTCCCGATCAGTCGTAATCCGTACAGCTTGCTAAGTCCCCGGAAATGGATCATGTCGATTTCGGAGATGGCGTTTTCGCCGAGGTCGACCGTCCGCAGCAAATGCATGTCCCTGAGGGCGGCCGGAACGACCGACAGTCGGTTGCTACTCAGGTAGAGGTCTTGGAGACCCGTACAGTTTTTGAACACATCAGGGTGCAGTCGCTCGATCATATTATAGTCCAGTGACAGGTAACTCATAACATACAGACCGTTAAAAGCGTAAACGTCGATGGATTTAATTTTATTCGACGACAGCTTGAGCGTGTGCAGGTTGCTCATGGGAGCAAACGTGTCCGGTTGGATGGATTCGATTTGGTTATTCTGCAAGTTCAAAATCTGCAACGTGTACAGATCGTGGAACATGGACGCGTCGAGCCGGGCGATCGAGTTGTGTGACAAGTTGAGGAGCACCAATCGGATGAGGCCGCTGAAAGTGTCTTTGTTGATCCACGCACTAGTTAACTGATTGAAAGATAAGTCTAACGACATCAGCTGATTTAAATTCGTGAAAAGCTCGGGAGATAAGACATTTATGGAATTATTTTGAAGGTATATCTCAGTGATGCTATCCGCGCAGTCCCGGAACATATCAACAGGCAACGATACGATCCTGTTGCTGCTCAGGTCAAAAATTTGAAGCTGCTTCAGCCCGTGGAGACTGCGCTCGGCTATCATGGAGATCTCGTTGTTGTTCAGGTAGAGATCCTTGAGCCGCTTCAATGTACTAAACCCGAGCGTGGGCAGGAGGACGAAGTGGTTGTACGAAACATCGAGCGTCTGGATATTGAGACTGCACAAGCTGTCAAATCGGCTAATGGGCTGCCCAAGCTCTTCCTGGCCGCTGACCAGCGGTTGCGGGGGCGGCGGCGGCGCGGCTTTCTCTCTGAAGCCCAGGTCGCTCACGTCCTGCAGGCGGTTCTCGCTCAGGTTGAGGAACACGAGGTTTGACAGCGGACAGAACACGCCGCTGGGCAGGTTGTAAATGTTATTGGTGCTCAGGTCCAGACGTTCCAGTAGCTTGGCCGGCTCGAAGGACCCCTTCCCCACGTCCAAGCTCATCGTCGGCCAGTCCGTGTTCTTGGTCTTGACCGTGAGGTTGCGCAGGTTGGCCAGACCGGCAAGGGTGTCGCTCGACCATCTAGCGAGCTTGCAGTTGGCGAGGGTGAGCTCGCGTAGCTTGGTCAGATGCGCAAAGCTCCGGTCATTGATGGAGCTTTTCGACATGAGCTCCTCGTTGCACTCGATCCGAAGCGAGGTGGTGTGTTCGGAAGGGATGACGCTGAAATTCGTCGTGTCGAATTCACTGTTGATCGTCCGCAGTTTACAGATGAGGGCCACCTCATCCGGCGTGATCCCGTTGGACCCGTCTCTAATCCACCATTGGCAGTCGTCAGGGGCGTCGTATTTGATGGGAGGCACTAAAATCGAGTTGTCCGGCGCCAGCGTGGAGCCACCCCTGCAGTGATGCAAACTCATGAGCAATAAAATGTAGCTGTAAAAGGAAAATGCCATGCTCTCCGAACGGCGCTGCTGAACATCCATTAGAAAGTTAGCGCTGCCGCGGACATTATTTCAGAGGTGTTATCTGCGGTTATCAAAGGGTGCGCTAATCATTCGCGGCCAAGATACTCAAAACTGGCGGATGATAACTCGAATTGGTTTCCGTTTTCTTTTTCGTTTCTGCTTGACTTTGTGTTTTGAGCTTGTTTCCATTTAATTTTGAGGCGCGCGTATTCCAGTGGAGTTAAATGTAACCTCCAGTGTGTAAGACACAATAATAAACCGGGTTGGATTATTCGCGATATTTTAGGGCGAACTGACTGGGACTTTGATAACACATGTTATATTCCCTTTAAATTAAACGCGCACAGTGAAAAGAGCGCAGAAAAAATTTTCGGCACAGAGCATAATTTAAAATGCGTTTTTAGTGTGATAAAAACTCTCACATGATGTAAACAAACTATTTTGGATTTTTATTTACAATAAGTTTAACTAAAGTAGCAAATAAAACACGAATAACTCAACACACCGGATGAGATGGACTTTCAAACGAAATAACATATTACTTAAACGAAATTAAAATAAGTTGATTAGTCACTTTCGGCCGCGATTCGACCACTACATACACTCAGGTTTCTCAGCTTCCAGAGAAAACCGCACCAAAAAATAAGCAAAACGAAAGAGCAATTCGGAAGCTCTTCAACACTGGTTCGGCACTTCCAAAATTAATCCAATAGATCAGCTGAACTGTGATGTAACCACTCGCAGACACAGGTTTTTTGCAATTTATTCGAAGCCGTGATAAAATCGCTTCGCACTCAGTTTCGCGCTCAAAACGTGCTCAATACGCGCGAAGTTTCGAACAAAGTTATGCGTTCGCCGAATAGAGAAAAAGCCGTCGTGGATTTCCTCCAATCACTTGGCGCGCGCTTTTGCCGTGAAAAGAATACGGAATTTTCGCGAACGGCCCGTTACGAAAAACTGAGCGGCACCGGCGCGATCTTGGAGCACGCATCCGGGGAAGTCAACGTGCTCATCGAGACTGAGGGAACTAAAGCGGAGTCTGGAGCTCCAATATCTTGGTCATGCACCCCTGCCGCGGCCGCCACCGGTCGCCCCTCCAGCCCGCGGGACCGAGTCCCCCCGAGTTCCTCCGAACATGCACGAACCCCAGCAGCCCGTCCTCCCATCCTGACTCCTGAGTTCGAAACGACTTTGAGGCGGCAGGGACGAGCTCTGTCGGACGCCATTCATTGTCATTCTGGTGTGAGCAGTGGATCGCGGTGCAACCTCACGTAAGATCCTCGTCAACTCAGAGGATCCCCCCCCCCCCCCCCCCCNAAGTGAGTTTGATCCCGATGATTAGAAGGTAACCCGTACGGCGGGTGAATTCTCAAAAAAGAAGGTCGTTTTTGGAGTTGTACAGCGCCTTTAGGCCGAGTTGGGCTCGCCGCATGGGCAGTTAACAAAATCGCCGTATCGACGGTGTAAGTCGGCAATCACATAACTCGGTTTGCGACGTCGCAGACTTCCTGCCATACTTTATTTATTGAACGGAAAACTACTCAACGGCAATTCTTTAAAACTGCCGTGAATTTTCTTCTCTGTGCGAAGAAAATCCTGCAAAAACTTCAAGGAATGCTGTCAATTTGTTTTCCTTTAAAAAAATAACATAGAGGCGGAGATTTTCAGACACCGCAAACGAGATATGTGATTGCCGTCTTACACCGTCGATATGTGATTTTAGGGATTTTTTATGAAATTAATTAAAAATAATGTAATTCCCTTAGAAGCGATGATCGGTTCGAATTTTAGACGTACGCACCCATTATAGACCTCTTGAGAGACCTTTAAACATATTTCTTCCATTTCAAAATGACTGTTAATTTTGACATACCATAGCATATCTCGGGCAAACTTAACCTTAATATATCTCGAAATTAAAAAAGTAAGAGGCATCTAAAGTGTAAACGCGGTAGAACTATTTACGCAAGATAGATGTCCACATTGCATATGAAAAATGTAAGACGCGATGGCGTGAGTCGTGTACTCACAATGCTCTGCTCCGTGATACTAGTTTGAAGTACCATTACGAATAAAACAAACGCAAACAAACACAATATGGAAATAAAGTGAGGGAAAAGATGCGCGTTTACGACGGCGCAGAGATACAACTATTCGTACTTGATGGACGTCCGTGCTGCATCTGAAAAATTGAAGGCGTGATGACGCGAAGTGTGAACTCTTAGTGCTCTGCTGTATGCTGTAAATGAGGTGTCGCTCAGATTTGAGAGAAAAGCGAAAAAAGAGGCCCGAATACGTCTTTCCTATTTTTTGCTGTGTTGATACTCGTTCTTTCTTTTCAGGTTCTTGTCCGATTCTTTTTTAGGATGGATTTGCAGACCCACGTCTTAAGCTCGTGCAAACCGTAGTTGAACTGTTCCCTGTAAACTCGTAGCACTAGCTCGATTCTTTTGGAAATAATGGTGCTTAGGTGCGTCTAGTGGCTTAAATTGATTATGTTTTCTTTAATTTCAGAGGACTGTCGGTTAATTCGATACGTTCAATTTTGCAATTTTTACTCGGTACGATTAATAAACTTTGAACCTGAAAAAAGCGTTAACTTTGTGCTACTTTGCCAAAATTTCTGTACCCTTCTCTACGTAGGGGATGCCCTACCAGGAAATATCACATTACATCCCTTTAAAAAGCCAAGGGTCTATGCCCTCAGATGCGAGCCAGTCCGACCCTGCTCGGCATTCTTAGTTTGTTTCTGGAATCTGAAGATTGGTAGGGACATTTTTCTAGTGTTTTTCTTGGAGGTAGGTTGGCTGCCCTTTAAAGCTGTAGGAGCTTCACGGTTTGATCTATCCATACAGGTAGTGTGGGGTAAACGCACAGTTCTTAAGTCCCTGCGAAACTGTGATTAGAGGGGCCAACCGTGAATCAACAGGGCCGCAATGATAAATGAGTTAGCTCGAACAAGGGATCGCCGCCGCAGCGTCGTTCTTCGCCCTGGAGCTTCGAGCTTGGTCCGAGAAAATCGCGGAGATTTTGGCGGGAATCGACAACGCCGAATCAGCGCGGCACAATTTGCCAGAGTGTAAACTATTGTAACGGGGATCGAGCGCTACACTCACATCAAAGGCTCACTCTTCATCCCGCGCTGTTATCTATAAATATTTTGCTGGACACGCGCTTTGCTTCGTCGACACTCAAACTCTGACAAACAACACGTTCAACCCCCGGCGGCGTGGCCAGCTTTTGCCCTGACCAGGGGCTCTTTCAACACCGGCCAGTTTCGATATGCTCTGTTTAAATGTAAGGAATGCAATAAATGTAAATTTGAATTTAATTACAGTTGTTACTATTGTCAACGCTGTTTATTTAATGAACTTTGCGAGAAAGTTAAGTTCCTTAAACCTATCTCTGTGTGGACAAGGCCTTCCATTCATAAGAAATGAACGAAAAAATTATGAAAGAACAAACATAAATGTGGATTAATGATTTTAACTTCCGCCACCGCGCCACGCAGACAGCACCGTGTTGGACGCAATGCGTTAAGTATTCACGCAGTCTTGTAGGCGCTATACGTCTCACGCTGATCGCACTGTGTTTGCCACAATGCGTGAGGTATTCATGCATTCTTGTAGGCGCTATCCGTTTCACGCTGTCCGCAATGACCGCACTGTGTTTGATGCAATGCGTGAAGTATTCGTGCAGTCTTGTAGGCGCTAATATATGTTACATGCCGATCGCCGCGCCGAGGGCTTCTCCTTTTCATCTCATCAAGTCCTCGTCATCATTTCTCTCTAGGTAAGTCGCGCCGTTCCAGGCCAAATTGCGTGTTTGGTTTCTCTCTTAGCTCGACTAATTAAAGGTGCTGTCTCTTGTATCACTGAAAGACGACAAAATTAGAAATTACCATACTCTCAGAAAATTAGAGATTCTGTCGCCTTTTCTTGTCTGTAATTTTTTTTTTCAAATCCGAATTTTTTTTATACCTACATTTAAAAAAATTGCAAAATTTGCCGCCCCCTATAGATTTGCCGCCATGGGTCGCGGCCCATGTGGCCACCCCCTTAATCCGGCCCTGCCAGTCACTGTGTCAGCGAAGCTCACAATTAAGATTTTTAGCACAGTTTGACAACGATTGCACGCGGACGAATAACCACGCTCTCAACCCCATCGACGTGATGAGTGGCAACCGGTGTAGCATTTTATTCCAGGTCTCCATGTACTGGCTATAAAGCTCCGAAACTTGGAGTTTGATCCACTTTTGTCCATGAGTGGGTTTTTGAAACATCGAAAAATTAGATCGCATCGTCGTCAAACCTTCGACAGGTATTTTAATTGTCTCCATTCACTTCACAACCTTTTTTGTCAATGCTGCAGACATTCAACAACCTGTTTGTCGTAGCTTTATTGTCAGACGTTAAAAAGAAATTTTAAATGCTCGTATGATAAATATTGTGAAAAAAGGTAAATAAATAAATCAAAAATAAAATGAAAAATGAATTTTTATTGAAATCCGTTGGTTTTATAAACTAATTTGCAGTGTATTAATTTTATGAATGCTCCCTTTTTAGAATGTATTGATTTAAAACATGCGTGGACTCACCAAAACTAATAGCCCTGGAGTCCTGGATACACATCCAAAGTGATGCTCCAAAGTGGTGGATGTTTAGCAAAATGTTGCTATCGATTACCTCCAAAGGAGAGCGGGCAGCTTGCACACACTCTCCTTTGCTGCATCGATGCGCAACACTTAGCTGCCTTGACTTAACAGCTTTGACTTAACAGCCTTGACTTAACAGCTTTGACTTAACAGCCTTGACTTAACAGCCAGAACTTTGAAGTTCAATTCGAAGGTAAGTCCGGGGCATGGGACAATATCATTTTGGTTGAGGATGGTGACTTATACCATCCGTTTGCCTTAAATTGGAGGTCAAGTTAAGAATTTTGATCTTGTTCCCTCTTCATTTTCTTTATCTTACGCATTTTTCCCCCATTATAAGCGTTTGATGGAATTTGAAATTCTCTGTAGAACTTTGCAGTTTATAATCAGAAGCTCATTTCATTGATGCTGAAGTGAACTTTTCTGAGTGGAGCTGCCTAGCCGAAACGTTTACTTCATACGTCTCAATTTTACAATTTTTCATTCTTGAACTTAGAAATCGACGGTGCAATCACATAACTGGTTTGCGACGTCGCAGACTTCCCGTCATACCTTATCCTTTAAACGGAAAACTACTCAACGGCAATTCTTTAAATCCTTTACACGGAAAACTACTCAACGGCAATGTTTTAGAACTGCCGCGATTTTTCTTCTCTGTGCGCAGAAAATTGTGCAAAAACTTAAAGGAATGATGTCAATTTGTTCGCTTTTAAAAAAATAACATAGTGGCGGAGATTTTCAGACACCGCAAACGGGATATGGGATTGAGGACTTACGCCGTCGAAATGTTCTTTTAAGGTCAACTTATAGAAATTTAGAGGAGGGGGGAGGAGGTGCTAGCAGTCGGAAACGAAGCAGATTTAACTTTCCTCTACATTGATGCAGTAGTTATTTCTATTCAAAAAAAGTTCCTTATAAGCCAACCTTTATTGACTTCATTTTTGTTGTTGTTGTTTGATGATGGGAACATATATGCATGTTCATGAGCATATTTTTAACGTACCTATAACTACAATACGCTCTACTCATTCGAAATTTTATGAAAGTCCGGCCAAAAAGGTTCTTTACTTTCTTTTATTTTTTTCGACAAAACGTGGGTCTAATTTTTTAGTGTAATGAGGCCCTCCTCATTCATTTCACGTAGAACAATTTCCTCGCATAATGAGAGGCCAATTCCAATCATCGGACTCAATGTACCTCCATCCCATCAGCTAGCCTATTAAGCCAAGCACAATTATTTTGCACCACTCGTTCAAAAAAAGGGACGGGTAATTAATGTTGTTGACCTAATGAAAAGTTTGGAGCGCTTTCGTGCTCGACTAATATTCCCCTCCTTGGAGTGAAGTAT